ACGTTTGGGGGGGGGGGGGGGGAATATGGCCGCCGCTTGAGTGGGGCAACTCAGAATAATAACGTGCTGGATTAGTGTGATCCTGGTTCATTTTATTACTTAATTGCTGTGCTGTATGTGTATAGGCCAATGCCTTGGCTGGCGCTCGTGCAGAACAAGTTTCTTGGGCAAACCTCTTGGTTGTAACGAAACCGGAAGTCAGGCGGTCACAGAACTTGATAAGTTCTCAGTGTCGACAGATCACCAGAACAAAAATAGCTCAGTCCTTCTAGAGCTCAAAGTAGAAAAGTGTCTGATGCTACGTTCACTTAAATTTTGCAACTTTTTGAAGGCTATGACTCTAGTAAAGAGCTGCATGGAGTCAGTAGCTCTGGACAATGCTTTATGTCTGCAAAAAAATTTTAAATAGCTGCATACAGAATAAATTCAGATGCTGTCAGACTCATCACAAACATGTTCCCTTTGAAAAGGTGAACTGCTGCATGTCCCAGCACTCTTCCCTTGTGTTCAGATATTTTTGTTATAAATCAGCCCAGGAAATGGACCTTGACCAAATGTTCCCCTCTATCAGGTTTTCACTTAAAACCAATTTCCAAAGATTGTTTCTGAAACGAGCTGCGTGCAATCATGGCAGCAAGATTGGAAAAAGCCCGGCACACTTTAAACCTTTAGTGACCCGTAAAAGAGAAGAGACAAAATGTATTCCTTATTTAATTCTGATACAGCAGAGGCCCGAGGGCCTGACGGCTCACAATGTATCAGCTGCAGCCGAGTTCTAATGTTTATTTTGAGATTTGGTGGTTCGACTTTTACAAAATCTTCTGATTATTGAACAATATCTTATTGAAGTGTCACTCTGGCCAAACGTTGAGGCTCTAGTTGGCTTTCATGGTCAACTCACAACTTCTTACATGGCTATGGCCCCTCAACACCTGCCCATGCATCAGAATCATACTCAACCCTTTGTTACCCATCACTAGGCAGTTACAGAGCCATAATTGCAAATTGTGGGGCTCCATAGCAACATTTTGTATGGTTTAGACAGACATCCCAACACTCCCTGATGTTCCGGGAGTCTCCTGCTATTAGATAGCAGAGAGGCAGAGGGCACCTCCCTGAAATTGCTTTTTTTCAGGTTGGGATCTCTGCTTAGACCTTAACATAAAGTATATATGTTAGGAGAGTGGACACCAGTGGTCGGAAACTAGACATGTGCAATTCCTTTCATTACGAATTTTCCTGAAATTCGTAAATTCGGAAGCATCTGAAATCCGAATTGCAGTTTCCGAAATACGAAATTCCGTTAACGAATTTCGGATCCAAATTTTTTTGAAACAAGAACTAATATTACCCCTGTAAATGAGGTTGAACAACATGACAAGACAGGCAGGAAATACAAAATTCCGTTGACGTATTTTCGTTCCGTTACGAACATTCGTTATATTGAAGTTAAAAAGCAAAATACATTTGTTAATATATTGGAGTTGATGGTAGTTATTTTTTTAATCCGAAATACGAAATTCGGATCAGAAATCCATTAACGGAATTCCGTATTTCGGATAAAAAAAAACAACTACAACGACTCCAATATTAACAAAGGTATTTTGCTTTTTAACTTCAATATAAAAAATGTTCGTAACGGAACAAAAATCCGTTAACTGAATTTTGTATTTCCTGCCTGTATTGTAATGCAACTCTCAGCAGCAGAAGAGAAAACCTCTGATTGGTCAACCAAACGAAATACGAATTCTGTTAACGGATTTCGGATCCGAATTTCAGATAAAAAAAAAAACTCATCAACTCCAATATTAACAAAGGTATTTTGCTTTTTGACTTCATCATAACGAATGCTCGTAAAGTTACGAAAATGTGCCGAAACTAACGAAAATTCATATTTCGTACGAATCCGAATTGAGTTTCGGACACGAATTACGAAATACGAAATAACAGATATTCCGAAATGAAACGAAACGGAACAAATTTTTTGACAGCGCACAAGTCTACCGGAAACCTTCAGGCTAAGCACAGTTCTTAGGGAAGAAGAAGAGGTTAAATAGTCAGAATCACTAGACCGGAATCAGTGTTGGGGTCACAAGCCAAGGTTGATGCTGGAGAAGAGTTTCATAGTTGGGGTCACAAGCTGGGGTCATTGCTGGGGAATAGTTTTGTAGTCGGGTCACAAGCCAAATTCCATTCCAAGTAGTAAAGGAAGTAGCACAAGGCAGCAGACTGGATTATGTGTGGAGCACAATAATCTGGCAAGGACACAGGGTGTTCTTTAAATAAAAGGCCATGTACTCTGATTGGCCACAAGAGACTCATTGAGAAGCTTAGTATACAGGACTATAGCAGATTCAAGTCTGGAAGCAAAGTCCAAGGCGGCAAACCTGATAAGTCACGGTCCAGTGTGTGGGAGACCCAGGTTCAAGGCCTCAGTTCCTGACCATATTAAAGTCAAGTACAGGAAGCAAGAGAGCGCTCAGCAAAGTGGGTACATTACTGGGGACCAGAGCTTTGGACAGACAGGGAAGAGGAGGGAGTGAGCTTCTACTTACTGTTCCTGGTTTCTCCCCAATAATCCATTGTGGCGATTCTGCCTTACTGAGTATGGAGAATCTTGAGTGACCTACACAGAGTCTTGACCCTATAGAACATGTTTGGGATAAATTGAGCTTGCGACCCAGGTCTTCTCATACTACATCAATACCTGACCTGCTCTTTTGGCTGAATGGGCACAAATGTCCAAACACTCACTCTAATGGAAAGCTTTCCCAGAAGAGTGGAGGCTGATAAAGCCTCAAAGGGAGGACACATCTATATAAATGCCCATGGTTTTGGAAGCTGACCATTGTAAGCCTCCATGACAGTAGTATGTGGTTTGTCTGGAGCCCTGTAACTGTCAACCAACTCCATAATATTTGCCATGGTTACGGAATGGGATGTTGGACAAGCTTTTGACCATTTAGTGTATTTCACAACGGGGCAGTGAAACCAGCATAAGGAACCAGATATAGGTTGTCACTGCTTCCCCCCCCCCCCCACAGTGGGCTTTCTATAATAGCAGCTTACAGCAGATGTTTTGGTGGTACATCATCATCTCACCGAGTTCAAGGACAACACTAAGGCTGTCCTTGAACATGGCGTGGTTTGAAACAAGGTTTTGGTTTCCTGGTGGGAAATCAAAGTTTGTTTCCATCCACTCCCATATCTACGAAGCTTAACTCTGCCAGTCTCCCTTTTCTGTGTTAATTAGGTGCTGAATTAATTAGCCTTGATTGTGTTCTCTGAAAGTGTTGTTAAAGAAACAAAGCTTCATGGTGAATCTGTCTGGCAGTGCACCATGGGAACTTGTACGTCCCACTGGAGCAAATTATGTTTTGTGCTAATTACACAAAAGTAAGTTATGAGTAAGTGAAAAATAAAGCTCAGCTCATCTTATTTAACCACTTCAGATCACATCTGTATACCCCTGTAGACCAGGGCAATTGTTACCTTTCTGATATGGGCCTATCGGTTTAGGAATAACAAACAATGTTTCCTTTTAGTGATATTCTATTGCAAAAATGATTTTATTTTTTATGCAATCTATAGGAAAAAAAAATTAAGAGAATAAAAGAAAACACCCTTTTTTTTACTAGGATCGGTGTTAGATTGGGGGAAAAAATGTAAATAGAGAGTATACATTCTATAATTAGTTCTATTTAAGATAACATACACCCTGTGTGCTGTGTTGAAGTCTTTTTTGGATGTGTGTTTTGGGCCCAGGTTCTAAAACTATTTTACAGGAGCGTCCCGAGGCTGGGTGTCACCCAGAGCGGGTACCGGGTGACACCCCGCCATGACGTCATTGCACATGCGCGACCATCTTGGTGGTACCTGCTGGTGTCCATCTTTGTGATGGACGCTGGCAGAGAGAGGAGGGGACGTTCACCCGGCGGGATAAGGTATGCTCTCCTCTCTCCTGCAACTATTGGTCTATGACCGACTTTTCAGAGGGGGTGACACTAAAATGACTGTTAGTAATTTTGGTGTCATCCCTCCAATGGTGTCACCCGGGTGGGGGCTGCACCCCCCTAGTAATGCCACTACTATTTAATAAGGGAGAACAAAGTGTAATGGTGATATGTAGGGTGCAGTAACCCACAAACCCATCAAAATTTGTCATAATATTATTTGATTTAAAGTGAGACCTGATTGACATAAATGAATCACTTAATTCCATTAGGGCACTTAGCAATGTCTTAGTAAAGTGTAATTCCACCCAAAAGGGATCATTAGCTCCCAGGTGGGCATCCTATATTTCTAGTGATGAGATATCCCTGGCATAGTTCCTAACTCTGTTCTTGCCACTAAGGGAGACCGAGGAAATGCTTTTTCTTGCCTGTAGCAGAGTGATGATGTCATCTCAACCTAGGTAGCTTCAACAGACTGGAACTCAGAGAGAAAACAGGGTAAGTACAGTATATGCTGCTGGGGAGAGATACAATAAAGTTTTGTTTTGATTCATCTTTATCCAAACGGTCTGCTAAGTGTGACGGTCAGCCGTCATCATTACCACCATCTGAACAATCTCAGTGTTGCAATAAGAAAAGCAGCAGCTTCACGTCCTTTTGTACATGCAAGAGCCTCAGTAAATATTCTGCCTATAGAGAAACTCCTCCAGCAGACAATGTCAGCAATCTGACTTCAGGCTGTGTGCGGATAGCTAGAAAAAGCAGGCTGCAATATGACACAGGAGCCCAAGCTGAGCTTTATGGCAATTTTAAACAATTGCTGAAGTTGCAGATTAAAATCAAAATTATTAATTTTTTAATTCAGTTACAATTTACAAATTATATTTAAGATTAACATGAAATGACAAATATGGAAAAGATATGACTTTTTAAAAATTGTATCTATTGACCTTTGTGTTCAGGTGGAAACCCGTACACGTGGTGGATTGGAAGAGGGAACGAGAGACACACCTACTGGGGCGGGTCCCTGCCTGGGCAATGTGCATGTGGACTGGAGGAGAGCTGCATCGATATGAGACAATACTGCAACTGTGACGCTGACAGACCTGACTGGTAAGACAGAGATTATAATATTATTTATTAAAGTGGAAACAAATGATCTTTTTTCAATGGAAAAACTCTATAATTGCGGGTTATGAATACTTATAAATCTGTGTTACCTGATGCAAAATCCATATTTCATACTCACACACCCCCACGGTGGGCACCACCCTACGCCTCTTTGTCATGCTATGTGGGTTGACTTCTTTTTCTTCCCATCTCAGCCCTCTTACCCCGATACGCATGAACCCAGCCTTCCCTCCAGGCTTCCACAGCTCTTTTCTCCACCGATGGTCACCGGACACCGCCCCAACTGCAAACATGTTCTTCAACCGACAAGGAGAATTTCGGGACCTATCGGACCTCAACTCCCAGAACCCTGCACACCCCATTCCTATGTGGACGTATCTACAACTACGCCACTTCCTTAACCCTCGAGAAAACAGACACTCCCACACTCTCCCCCTAAAACCTTTTGCACATCTTCACAAAGAATCACGCATGCGATTTCAACTCTATACGCCCTACTGAACGATTCCTCCTCCCGCCCACACTGTTTTGTTGTTGTCTAGCTCCCTAAATGTAGAAATCCAGGAGACTAACTACAAACTTCGGTCACGAGACAAAACACTGACAGTGCTACACCGCATTTTTCCAGATACTCCTGCCACCTGTTGGCGTTGCTCTCAGGCAGAGGGCACCCTCCTCCACATTTGGTGGTCCTGCCCGCTTATCTCGCCCTTCTGGGCGGAAGTGCACGCCGTACTGAGGACCATCACAGGTACCTCCCTTGAGTTCTCTCTGGCATCCTTTCTTTTATATCACTTCACTACCCCCCCCACGCATAACCAAAAGCTCTCTGGCCATCCACTTGCTGAACGCAGCAAAAACTGTGATTCCAAGGCATTGGAAATCACCTCATCCACCATCAATCCGGGAATGGCTCTCCCGAGTGGAAATGGTGGCAAACATGGAAGAACTCATTTCCTCTGGTAAGGATGATATGCATCGCTATCTAAAGACTTGGACAGCTTGGCATCTATTCAAAGATTCCGACACCTACATTGCCCTCCTACAATAAGTAGCCCTTCTCTCTTACTCCCCCTCATCGCCGCACTACCATTCTCCTCTTTCTTCCTCCAATTCCATGCCACCGATGTCACCCCGTCTTGCTCCATAATCTTCATTCCTTTCCAGCTCTTCTCTGCTTTTTTCCCTTCTTTGAAGATACCCGGACGGTAGCCCCTCCCCTCTCCTTTTCTACCCTTGTCTCTGATCCTGCATTCTCCAACCCTCTTTCACGCCTTCCTTTCTCCCCCTCCCCCTTTTTTTTGTATTTTGTAGTTGTGCTTGCCCCATGCCCTGGATAGTAGCCTACAATGGGCTATTATCACAGTAATGTAGCCACCTAACACTTCACCCACTTTACTCCCACCATCACCTCATGATGACACTCTTTAGCATCACAACTCAACTCACCCCTTCGGTTATTAATCCACCCTTCGTAGCGATACAGTATGCCTTATTCTATCCACTGTCTGCACCTTGGGTAATCCTTCACAAAGGGGCATGTCCCACTGTATACAGTGATCATCCATACCACTATGACCACCTGCCTAATATTTAGTAGGTCCCCCTTTTCCTGACCCATCCAGGTATGACCTCTGAAGGTATGCTGTGGTATCTGGCACCAAGCCGTCAGTCCTGTAAGTTGTGAGGTGATCGGCCTCCATGGATCGGACTTGTTTTTCCAGCACATCCCACAGATGCTCCATTGGATTGACATCTGGAGATTTTGGAGAAAGAACTGAAATCCAATAAATAAAAGGGGCGGGGCCAGGGACAGCTAGGCTGGGGAGGAAAGTGCTAGATAATGTTGGACCACCTCCAGCCAAGAAATGAGGCGGGCTCTATCTGACTTGCTGCAACTTCTAATGCAGATTGTGAGAAGCTCCCACTGTGCAGTGATATCAGAGGAAGCCATTCCAGTCCAGGAAAGAAGTCGGTAAAACTGTGCACGACTGAAGGGAAGGAAGCAGGTCAGATATAACACTGAAGGGAAGGACGGAGGTCAGATAGAAGACTGAAGGGATGGACGGAGGTCTGATATAAGACTGAAGGAAATGATGGAGATCAGATAGAAGACTGAAGGGAAGGACGGAGGTCAAATATAAGACTGAAGGGAGGACGGAGGTCAGATATGAGACTGAAGGGAGGACGGAGGTCAGATATGAGACTGAAAGAAAGGACAGAGGTCAGATAGAAGACTGAAGGGAATTGCGGAGGTCAGATAGAAGACTGAAGGGAAGGATGGAGGTCAGATAGAAGACTGAAGGGAAGGATGGAGGTCAGATACAAGACTGAAGGGATGGACGGAGGTCTGATATAAGACTGAAGGGAAGGACGGAGGTCTGATATAAGACTGAAGGAAATAATGTATGTAATACAGTATGTAGTA